ATAGGGAAGCATAGGCGGTTGCACCCTATGAACTGGAGGCCGCGGAGGAACCTCCGCATATCGTACTCGCCCTCAGCAACTTGGCCACTTTTTACCTTTTCCTGTTCTAACTTAAAGATCCGTCGCTTTTTTTTTTTTCTCTCTTAAAAACAAAGTTTTATTTTTCTGAACTATAAGACAAATATAACCGGGCAAATAGAACTGCGCGGTTCACTTGGATCAGTCAGCGTTAAATGATCTCACCTGCCATGTAAGGCCCATACCGGCAGAAGCAGCCTCTGAATTTATTCGCTGCGGCTAGAGTTGGCATTTTATATCGTCCTTTCGGTATTGATCGCATTGGAGGCAAGGCAGTTAAATAAATTATTTCACGAGCAAAGAACGACATGTTGTCGCTATGGCCCTTCATCTTTGTTTGTCTTCTTCACTGGCAGATTGACCAGACGCTAAATCCAGCATCACGTGCGCTGCCTGGTTGTACTCTTTGAGCTTGGAATGCAGTGAAAGCTGTGAGTGCAAGGTGACAACTTCGAGAGGTGCTGATCTTGTTCGGTAGCAGGTGCAGCAAAAGCAGCAATCGAGGCTATGAGCAAATTTGGCCCTACCATCCCAAAATGGAGGGGGGAGGGGGGTAGCAGCGCTCAGCCAAATACTTTTCTAGGGGGAATACATTCCACTCTTCTCAAATACAATAGCCTCGGCGCGGACAGGTTTTCTGGAAGGGTGCCTACATGTCTGTCTGTCTCAGGGTGAAGACATCCATTGTTGCCCTGAATGTGCCAGCGCGTGACGCTCTCGCGCACTCGGTGCGTGACTTGGGCGGTAAAATGGCGTCTATGCATTAGCCAAAGCTACGCGCTCGAGCTGAGTGACACGAGATTGCGCGCCACTTCAAAATGCATAAAAAAACGATTGGGCGGAAAAATGGCTGAGATGTCACCACTCAAGCAAAAACGCGCGTGTGTATGAAGGCACTCTATTTTCTGGGCTTGGCGAGAGCCATCTATCGTCGGGGAGGTCTCGGCTATCGGGCGGTAAATGATGATGATGATGATGGTTGTTCTACATACCAAATTTATTGTTGTGGAAATGCTCGAAACACGTGCCGCACGCCACTTCAAGGAAGAACATGGCGTCTAAAATCTAGCTCAGTGCTGCGCCAAATACTTTGCTGCGCTGTGCCGCCATGATCCTCCCGATGCACGTGCCTCGTGCATCGACGCACCTTGCGCTACTTTTATAACAAGAAGGGGTTTTAGGTGAAATCGGAGACGACACCGCCGCGGCCGCCGCGAACATCCACGTGCACATGCGCTTGGACTGATGCGGACCTCCCCTCCGTCAGGGCTGGATTCGGCGCTGTAGGCGTTCTGCCTAATGCAAATGAGCGGAGTGAAATGTACTCCCCCTAGTAAAGTATTTGGCTCAGCTGTGAGCAGAAGTTTTTTACGGAGGCTCTTTCGACGAAAAATAGTAAATTTAAACTGCTGTTTTGGGCAGAGAACGCGCGTGCACACCACGAGCGCTCTCACGAAATCTCGCTTGAAAACATGTCACGGTCGTTCGTGAATCCATGGAACGCGAACAAGTGTTTTCATACCAGAAACAATAGAAGTAGGGAAGATGGGCCGATGTACTAAACGCGTGCCCCGTGAGGACCTCGGAAGGAAATTGCTGCGCAGCACTGGAAGGAGCCATCAAGGCGCCGCGTTGATTTATCTACACTCCGTTTCACCTTATGTTGTACCGCAGCGTAGGCTAGAAGCGCGAGCTCATAGCGTTGGCAGCTGCCCTTGGTGCACGAGAGCTTGTGCCGCCGAGGTGTGCCCTAGAGCAAGGAGCTCGCGCTTGTAGGCTTTCCTGCGGTACGACACAAGGTGAAACAGAGTATAGCACTCGCTTGGCTCGCGCCTCGCGCGTTTACATATCAATAGTTGTTGGCACTCCGTAAAAATGGGAAACTCGATTTACCTCAAATAGCTTTAATAGGGAGTTTTCGTAGACCGCGCTGCCCCCTCCGCTAAGCGTTCCGCAACGAAGAAGTTGCTACTGCGCCTGCGCGCCGATAGCCTTGACTGTGGAGTTCCCGCTATCGTAGCGGGTTGCGGAGGGCCTTGCGGGACGGCGAAAACGATCTACGAAAACTCCCTAATTACAAGGTGCCGTTCAGCGTTTCTCGGTTTTTAGACAAGCCTTCGTGCCATCTCCAAACAAATTTGAAGAGAGGATCCCTCTACTAGGCAATGAGTAACATATGCAAAGTGATCAAACCACGATCAAACACAAGCCTCAACTATTGTCTCCTGCATTTTTACGAAGGAAGCAACCACAACCCTCGCGTGGTACGCAAGCGCCAATTTGTTTTAATGCCGAACTCAAACTTACATCCCCCGGCAAAAAACATTCACTCATGAGTAGCACATCCGCCCCCCTACCCCCGCAGCGAATTTCGAAGACGACGACGTAGGTGACGCCTTTTTCGTATTTTTCATTCCCACGTCACTATGACCCCCGTGACGTCTTTCATAAGCCGCGTTTTATTAATTGCCCGTCCCCTTCGTATGAGCAGCGTCGCAAGGAAAGTTTGGCAAAAAACGGAATCGTGATTTTGTCAAATTCGCACCGCAACTGCGTTGTGTCGCAAGAACGGCGTCGCAGTTGCGAAATTGCAGGCAAATTCGCACCATGTGAATCAGGCATGACAGAGGTATTATCATCGTGTCTTAAAATCATAGTTGCCAGTCATCTGAAGCTTTATCTGAAATCACAGGAAATCTGATTACTTTTGGAAGTGATTAAATTACTTGTAACCGTTACCATCCCCCCCCCCCCCTCTTTTTTTTTTCTAATGTTCCTTTTGTTTCTACAAGTCTCCCACCGATAAATACTCGAACCAAGTAGCCTGCAGGAAAATGGTTTACAAAAATTGGTGAATTAAGAAGATAGATAGTTTATAATTCGGTGAATTTCTTGTGTTCTTCTTAGATGTATTTCTCGCCACTGAATGTACCTGAGGGGGGCTGAGGACGAATCAAGCTGCTTGGACAGCTTTTTTCCTCAGCCCCCATTACGCTCATACATGGTAAATAAAGCTATTATTATTATTATTATTATTATTATTACTAGTAGTAGTAGTAGTAGTAGTAGTAGTAGTAGTAGTATGAACAGTACAAAAGACCCATTTGCAAACCGGCAGAAAAAATATGTCGTTTTGAAGATATGAAATAATCGGAAAAGTAACTTTTTTCAAGTAACGGTCAGTTACATCTCCTCTCAAGTAATCAGGTAATCTAATTGATTACTTTTCAAGCAAGAGTAAGTAATTGTAAGAGCTTTTTCGAGTAACCTGTACAAGACTGGTGTCAGCTGAGAGGCAGGCGTGATCGCTTGTTCCATCTTTTGATGTGAATCGTCTCCCAGGGTCCCTAAACTCGTCAAATACAAAGTTGTAGCCGAAGTTGACGGAGCGCGTCGATTGGACAATCACGACGATGACTTCGCGTTTTTCTCGCCGACGTCCAATCGGCGCGCTCCACGAACTTTTGGCTACAACTTTGTGTCTGACGAGTTTAGGGCCCCTGGTTGAGGCCGTCTGCGATTTTGATCACGACCGTGTCGTAGTGTCTGTCGGCTCTTGAAACGTTACGGCGGCACGGTGATCCAGGGGCTTGGATTGTCGTCGTCGCTTTCCACGTGGGTCTTCGGCAGTCCCGCACAGGGCGAATCCACTTTGGCTCGGGGTTGAATCGCTTCAATTTCCACGTTTTAGAACATTTCTGTTTTAGAATGAAGAAACGGAGAACTTACCGTTCTGAAACTTCGCCGTCTTCTCTGTTCCCAACGAGGAATCAAGAACAATTGCGTTGCATTTTTGTGTGCGAACGCTCCAGTCCGCTACTATTCAGTTTGAAGTACAACTATTCCAGCATCACTCGCGTAAATGCCATGTTACAGGGAAACAACTACCGCAGACTCTGACCCAACCATCAATTAACGCCATAGCACGCTGCTCTCGCTAAACATTCTATATATCGGAAAGCTTATACATTGCGGAGAGATTAATTTTTTCCCGCCGATACACTTGTGGCACATTATCCAATGCCACAAAGAAGAAATTTTATTTGAGCAAAGGGAGGGGAAAACCCGGCATTGAGATTAATTACAGAGTACAAGCCAGTAAACTTAACTGACAAAACGTTAGATGCATGATTTTCATTGTGGCAAATGACCTTTAATGCGCATTAATCGTTCGAAATACTTACAATCATGGATTACGTGCGTTGCAGTAATCAGTAAGAGTATAATAATGACAAAAAAAACACAAAAAAACTTAGGGTGTGACGAGTTTTAAGCATCTCATCAGCGCTCCGCAACCAATGAGATTGCGCCGTCTGTTGTTAAAAAACGTCGAAGATCCAGTCGGAGCAAGAAGCGCAAACCTGACACGTCCCGCCCTGCTTTTCTTAACCTGTCGGTGGCGATAGTCGAATGACCCGGTCATGCGTGTACAACTAGCGCATGCGTATCTAAAATACATAGGGATATCATCCTTAAGTCGATATCACACTGCTAATGCATCGTGCAAAAAATCTGCATACGCTGTCGGAGGTGTGGTGTTATGGTTCTGCCACATGGGTGAAACTATGGTGCTTGAAGCGCGTCTTCGACTGGTGTGTTTAGCGTCCTATGCTGCCCATACATCAAGTGGCCCGAAGTGGCAACAACTGAATTCACAGAAGCCGAAGTGTCAACCTGTTAAATGTCACGATCCTGGCGGTCGATCGTAGAAATGCTAAAGGAAAGCTGCGAGTAGCACAAGCGAACGCGAGTGTCGCTGTCGTCACGGCGTCCCAACTTATGACAGCCGTAGCTTCCGTGGCCTTTCAAGCTGGAGAATGACCTGCGGCAGAGCAGGCGTCTGCCACATCCACCACCACGTTGCTGTGACGCCGCCAGGGTCGCGACTGGCAACAGAATGACACCTCTAGTACGTCATCGGAAGGAAATCGAGGGACCACTTTTTGGACGCGGTAAACACACCGGTTAGAGACGCGTTCCAGGCACCATAGTGATACTAAGACTTTCCGCAGACGTGTTCGGAGCACACATGTGTATAAACCAGACGTGTTTCGAACATGCCCGAGGCGTGTGTGCAAATGTCATCGTGTCTCCAGCGAACACCGCGTCGTTTGTACGATGTACACGAGCAGTGTGACGGGCGGCTGTAGGTTCACCGCACTCGCAGAAACGATCCTGTCGCACTTTTCCTCCCGCGGTCATCCGTGGCTCACTCGAGTGGTGTCTCTCGTCCCGGACGCTCGTAGGCTACGAGACAGTCCACGCCGGCTCCACTTCTCCCACTGTGCGCGCACATTCAATGAGAGACCTCCGAGGATCCGCCGTTCGGTGTTTGTTCCTGGTCCTTGACCCCGACGATGTAGCAGAAATCCTTCTTCGTAAACCAGCTGTGCCTATTGTCGAACTTGAAGATGTCTGAAAGGGGAAAAGGAAACGATTTAAAAACGTGCTGCGTTGTGTAGCACAAACAAACATCGACTAAGCTCAATCTCACCAACTCTCCTGTGTACAGAGCGTTTTTTTTTCTTCTTATTTTAGAGGATCTATAATTTTGTTTTAAGTCACTTTTACGAGTCATAATGTACTTAGTTAAAAAATCGACGCTCCACCTAGCTGTGGCGTAAAATTGTCGTTAAAAAATTTGTAGTGGGAGCTACAGGCCGAGAAATACCATCCTTGGACACGGCTTCAAACCGAAGCTAATCGCGCGAAGAACGCTCGTGATGTCGAGCGTTCTTCGCGCGTTAAGCGGCAGTAAAGCAGTCGGTTAGAGATAAACGCAGATGACTAAACCAGCTTTGGGAGGCGGCCTCTGTATTTCTGTAGCTTTTGTTCACCGACCAAGCCATGTCCGCAACCAAGCGTAGGCCTACTGCGGGGCTGACGCCATGTCACTGAGACAGCGTTTGCAGGTTTAAAATCTTGATTGAGTCAAAATCGTATTTCAGGCGGCCGCATGGACAGTACTTGCTGCCCCATTGTTGATGGCACGCCAGTCTCCTCAGGCTTAGATTTCCAACAACTGCGCTACAATTGCGACACGTGGACTTAGCTTTTACAAAAGTCCGAAATTTCCCACGCGGATTTTTTAGTTTTTTGTGTACGTAATACAACTGCAAAAACAGGAACGAGAACATGAAAGGAAGAAGCGATGCATTTTTAAACACTTCCAGACGCTCAACCTCGCAGACAGTCTGGGCTGAAACACAAACCGCAACGCAGCTCGACACACAAACCCACAGCAGCCCAGAGGGGAACAGTCCCTCACATGTTCCCGGCTCCTGGCACTCGAGCTGTCCGCTTTCGGGAACCTGGTTGCACTTGACCCTCCTCGCGGGCAGCAGCTCGCTGCTCGACTGGCCGCCGTTCTGGAGCGTCAGCCCGAAGCACAGGTCGTGCGACTTGCACTGGAAGCGCCAGTCGAGGACGGCGCCTGCTCGCTCCACGACAACGGGCACCGTTAGGACGGCACCACGGGCCAGGCTGCACCGCTTAGCACCGGGCTCGGACCACAGACCCGGGCTGTGCACCATGTACAGCTCGCTCGGGACCTCGCCTCCGGGACGAATCTACAGGCAGTGCCCTTTCCCTGATCACCGTCGTCCGCGTTCCTTGCACGCAAGGGGTGATTTCAGCAAAACCCGATGTCGCTATATATATATATACTGCCGGAAACTCGTCTTCGACTGGTGTTTCTAGCGTGTTATTCTGCCCCCTGGCATCAAATGGGGTGCAGAAGTGGCACCAAACGACGTCACAGAAGCCGGTGTGTCATGTTGTTGGATTTCGAGATCCTGGTGGTTGGACGTGCTAAACGACTTGGCAAAAGTATGAGTGAACACGACCGTCGCTCTCGTCGCGGAGTACCAGCACCTATAGCTGCTGCAGCTTCCGTAGACTGTCAAGCTGGAGGTCTGCCTGCAGCGAAACAGGCGTCTGTCACCGCCAGGATTGCGGCCGACGACAACATTACATTCCTATAACGTCGCCAGGTGGAAATAAAGGAACCAGTTTTATATGACGCGGTAAACACACCAGTCAGAAACGCGTTCCAGGAAACATACTGTTACCCCTCTTCGCCTTTGACGATGTGCACATAGTCCCGAAGGATAATGCGCAGTTCAAAACGTCAGTCGCACGCCACTGTTGCCTTGGCGGTGCGTTTAACTTCTCGTTTAAGATTTTGTTCCCACTGCAATTTGCGCGACTCCTCCTTTAGCGGACGAAACAGCGACGGCTTACGTACGATCGCTGGTGCTCCGGCTGCCCTTGCTGTACGGGTAGCCCGACTGGCATCCCGGCGCGAAGCAATCTGTGTCCGTCTTTTTCCTTGCATTCATGACCAAGACGGCAACGTAACGGCGAAGACTCCCCACCACTACACCACAAAGAAAAGTGCAATGGCGCTACGTTCGGGAGAAGGGTACCGCCTCAGCCTCGCCTTCTCCTTCGCTTATCGCACATGTGCCACAATTTCTGCTAGCACGTTTTCCCCTCGCGGCCATCTACGTCGACCGCCTTCACGCAAGCACCGTTCTTGCCACTACAACTTCTAGAACACTTTAACAGGAGGCAGGCGTCAGCAACGTTGGCGGCAGCAACTGTTGGTGGCAGCGCACCAGACGGCTCGTGCCGTGTCGTGCTCCGCTCTCGCAAAGCCATGGTCAGGTTGTCGCACGTTCAGAAAGACTAAAGTTCCCTCGATGCATCGCGTCAGCGGTGGCATAGCCAAGCTCGCTAGTGATATCGGTCTATTGAAGTTACCAATTCAAAAAACAGCGTTCCAATTTTTTTTTTTTTTTTTTTAGTTTTTGCCGGGAGAGCATTTGAATATGACGAAAGTTGTTGCCCCCCGTGCCAACGACGGCAGACATCAAATGAGGACGCACCGTGTCTGAGCACTTAGGGTCGCCGTCTGCACCGCGAAGCGTTCCTCCCCAGTACGCTGGCAGCTGGTTGGGGTCCACGTACTCGAAAAGCGCCGATTGCCAGCCCTCTGTGGGAAACACAAACCATACTTGCGTAGAGTTAAACCTAAGTTCGTCACACTAAGGAATTGGCAAGACTTGAGACCCGGGGTAAGCTGGTGCATGCACGTGTCTCGATCCTTGCTGGTTTCTGTACAGCGCTCCTCTGCTTTGTTCATCGCCGTTGTATTCAGGCTTGATAACTTAAGCCGTGGTCACACTGCTCATAGATCATACAAACGACAGTCTGCAAACACAAGTCAGCGCAATATCCGTGGTTCGAATGCTGCGTGCCAAGTTTCTTCTTGAACTCAGTGCGCGGCATTCAACGCACAGATCTCGCCGTTACTCGCGTTCGAATTTGCGTGCAGACTGTCTTTTGTATGATGTACGAGCAGTGCGACCCCGGATTTACAGTTTCCAAATAGTGTCATTTCTGGTGTTACCGTCTTTCTCAATGGAAGTCTTTTGAGGTCGCATCTCTTTTTTCCGGGTGAAGAACTGACACTTCATGACTTCATTCTTTGACTTCTATTTCGGGGATTTGCAATCTTTTTCTTACTGCTTTGACTGCTGATTTTCGTAATTTCTATGTTTCCTTCCTGTCCATCAGTGGCCTTAAAATCCCAGTAATCTTATCTTCGTGTTCAATGATATCAGAAAATTTATTTTCAAAGTCTTCGTCAAGCGCAAGATGTTCCGTGGTTTAGTTAATGTGCATGAGTGTACACAGACGTTGACCGCTTTGCAGGATCTGCACCCAAGAGAATTTCCTTTGCAGTCATGCAGCATGGAGGTAAAGCAAGGACTGCTTGGGTCGACTATGTTACTTGCCACCGACCAGTAACGAGTCGAAAAGAGCAGAAATTTTCCTTTTAGGACATAAGATTTGCCAATCGGAAGAACCCCGTCTACCGCAACTTGGCGCATAACCGCCAAGGCAACCCACCGTTACTTGGGTGCCCTTGTCGCTGGAGTTGCAGCGAACCCAGATAATGCGTAAGCTTTAAGTAGGCGGGAGCCCTGGGCACACGAAAGCCGGTGATTGACTTTAAGCCACAGTACAGTGCGCATTCACCTCTGGCATATATGAGCACCTTGTTGACCGTTCTCTGCGTCAGGAAGGGACTGATGAGCCTCCAAAAGAGCGGAAAGAAGCTGGGTGCTGCAAACAGTACAAGTGTGCGTCACTCTCTCGTTGTCGACAAACCCAACTTCAAACTCACCGTTGATGATTAGTGCTCGGTGCAGAGTTTCAGGGTAGTGGTTCTCGTAAAGCCCCATCAGAGCACGTAGGTAGCTGATCACTGCGCACCAGAATTCTTTCAGCGTCAGGTATGCATGATTTGTTGGCATACAAGAAGTTGTACCTTGCAAGCTGTACACTTGCCGGAGGGAAAGGTGGTCATAGTCGAATACCATGGTCACTGAGTCCTCGATCTGCCCCAACTGTCGAAAAGATGGATTCAAGGATGTTAGTCTACAATCTCGGAGGAAAAAAGTGCGGCGACGAGATCCGTATGGCTAGAAAGCGCGGACAGTGAGCCCTTATTTACTGAACTTTTTGCAACCTTACGGTAAGCGCACAATTTGTACAGACTCGGAAGGTTCAGAACGTTTATCATAGCCCTACTTGGTTTGCAAGCCGCTGCAGTTGGTCATTTGGTATCAGTTGGAGTCATTTGGTAAATCAGTTGGAGCATCCCAATGTCCATTTTGCTGCGTCAAAGTGAAGCTTGTAACAGATGTGCAGCGTGTCTGTAATTGATTTATACACTTTCACCTACCAACCTAGTACTACAGTTGTGACTAGTAATATTTGAAGTACACAATCTGAAACATTTACTTGCTGTAAAGAGGCCCATTGTGAGCGCCAGAACGCACCAAATGTTCAGTTCATAATTCAGGGCATGCCATATCAACCATAAGGTTCATACAAGGCAGGACTGGGCAGTATCACGATACAAATGTATCGCGATGGTATATTAGAGATACTTTCCAGTATATCTGTATCGAGATACATTTAAAAAAATTTATTTGTATCTCAGTAGTGACACACATTAACAATGTATCGCTTGCATAGCGATATTTTGCCAGACTGGAGGATATCGTTACATTTCTTTGCCGTTCTGGCGATAAATTTAAAAAATAAAAGCATCTGTTTGGTGCAAGGTGCTTCAGAATTTATACGAACCCGCTCTTTAACATGATCCATCACAGTCACCAACAACGAAAAAGCTGTGGTTTAAAGAAGGCTACTTGCAAGAATTACACATTAACCTCCGCTCACCAAGCCCTTCACTCTTTCCAATTTAGCAGAGCGAACGCTTTAAAGGAGTTCAGTGAAGAAAAGGTACGGCTCTGTTGTCCAGTCTCCCCACACATGTGGGCGCCACAGAAGCATATAATACGACAGTTTGAGATACACCCTTAAGATAGAACTGGGTTCATTTCGTGCAGACGCCTTTTGTCAAGCATGACACGCAGTCTTTACCGTTCAGCAACTATGTGGTTCACCGGGGGTAACATGTTTTTAGCGGCATTAATAATAAAAGAAGAGTTCGAGGTAAAAAAAAAAGTGCATAACATGACACAAAAAGAGGAGCGCAAGCATAAACTGCCCTTTGCATTCGCCACGAATTACACCCTCCCCACGTAGCACCGTTCGGGAACAAATGTATTTCTATGTGTATCTGTATCTGTACTCCAGAATACTTTTTCGCCGTTTCTGCAGAAGTATCTCAGGGATATACCGTTGTATAAAAGACACATGTTATCTCAAAATCTGCATTTTGGGCCTTAAAACGGTACTCTAGGCACTATGTTATTTATTTTGTAGTGTCTAGAGTACCGTCCAACGGCACTCTTGCAGAGCGTTCAAGTGCCGTCCGAAAGTCCCGTATAAAACGTATTGTCAAAACGAGATTGCCGAAGCGGTAGCGTAGCTTAGTGGTAGGATGTCTGCCTCATACGAAAGCTGTCCCGGGTTTGATCAGTGCGGGCTTACATTTTTTTTTTCTCGAACATTTTGTTTTGTCGAGGCATCTGGCGATATTTACGACATCTCTTTTTTTTACGATTAACACTGGAAAAAAAAAAAAAAAAGCTAATGTTGTCGACGAAACTTCGCTGAACAAAATGATATGGAACTTCCTTTCCGGAGGTGCATGCGGGACGGCGGGGCTTGCGTTGCCGCGGCTGGACGCCGCGAAGCGGCGTGTACAGCGGGGCCAAGTGGGTTAATAGTTTTGCAATTAGCAGCCGCGTAATGTCGCCCTAAAGCGGCGTGAACGCAGGTGGGCGTGTGTGTTAACGAGCTCCCCAGTGATACACACCTCGTTCGACTCTCTTTAGGACGGCACTTGTAGGTGCGAGTGGAGTGCCGTCGGGCGGCACTGTAGACACAGCCTATTTATTTTGCCAATATGTCTATTTTTTTCTTTACGTGGATTTGGAAAGAAAGAGAAAAATTAGTCGCAATATATATTTCTTCGATATCCAAAATCAGACGGACCTCTCAGCTTCCTTCTTGGTTACTATAAAGAACCTGACATATCTGTATATCACTATATACATATAGGGTGTTTTTTGGATTTAAAAATATGTTTAAAAAGAGCCGTGAAAGCTACACTTAAGCGGTTTGTGCGGGTGAGTTATACGGCCAGGGGGACATAGTCGTAACGAACTAATCGTAATCGTAATTAATAAAAATCAGTGAATTAACTTTTTTAATTAATGAAAATAGACATATGGTTCCAATTAGAAACCTGCTCAGCGTCATCAAAAGCCACTAAATCAGCTCTTTATAGAAACATTAAATGCAAGGGCAGTATTTTACTGCGCTCCTTAAAAACGCTCCATTTGGACGCATTTCTAGGTTTCGGCTGATTATCGGAGCGCATCCCTGCGCCCGCGGTCCTGCTCCCCCGTGGCCAAGACGCGCAACACACGTGCGCCTTACTTCCCTCCATCAGACGAGGAGGGCGAGGCGGTGGCTTCGCGTCGCGACCACCGGGAAGCATATATATATATATATATATATAGAGAGAGAGAGAGAGAGAGAGAGAGAGAAAGACTAAGAGAGAGATTGTTTGAGACACTGCAGTCACGTGTGGAGGCACGTGCATCTCATTACCGGTCCGCCGCCAGTGAGGTAGCGGCATTTAACGCTAAGAACACCGATGGACCAATGAGCAAGCCGGAACAGGTCAAGGCTACGCCCTGCCTTTCTTAAGCTGTCATTGATTAGGGCCGGGCCTGTCCCGTGAACCGGTCACGAAGTACCAATATAGCGAACGAACCTTTTCGACCTGCTTCTGCTTCTCCTCTTCAATCCTCTCGAGCGTGTACACCACCTCATCGACGAGCTGCTCCTGGGGCACGCACTGAAGCATTCCTGAAGAAGACCGTGTTTGCCCTGTCAGCTGATGAAACGGTTTCGGAGTGGCCTCGCCATGCAGGAACTTGCCGTCGCACCTTTGAAGTCACCGTCTCCGAAGGGCAGGATCCAGACGGGCCGGCCGCCCCGGTCGTGATGGAACAGGCCGCCCGGGAAGTACCGCCGCACCACCTGCGCCCACGAACCCCGTAACAGCAGTCTCCTTAGAGGCTGAAGAAGCTCAGAGTTTTGCTAGCCAACACGGCAGGCCGGTTCTTCGAGGGCAGACCGACGACTCGCGAAATTCCCTGAACTAACACTCATTTATTTCTCAATGGTATAGACCTCTTTCAAAATACTGCCCTCGGTTGGCAGCTTGAAATCCCTGCACAATGGCGGACTAAAACCTCAACATCGCGGCACACTGGAAAAGCATACCCACACTGTACAGTGTTGTGCCCGTTACCGAAAAAAATTAACGAAATTTCGTTACTCGTTAGTTTGGCAAAAAGTAACGCGTTATCGAGCTACGTTACTCTTTTACAAACGTAACGATATACCGTTACCGTTACTTTTCAAAAATAACGAACGTTACTTTTACGTTACTTTTCTGTTCGAGTACATATGTTTGCCTGAGATGTATGATAAGCCTCCTTAACAAGCTCGGATAAAGATAAAAATTTACAGAGTGGTTTCATAGTGTTTTGATGCGCGAAGCAGCTGAATTTTCGGCATGCAGATTAGGCATTGAAACTGTAAATCACCTGATTCTGTCTCCTTTGGTTGATACATTTCATTCAGAGCTGCTGGCCATGGCAACGGACTTTCGTTATTCATGCCAATCTCACGCGCAGAATAAGTCGGAGATGTTAGTCAATCGGCTTTTATAAACTACAACATGCGAACGAGGACTGCTGGAACACAACCAGCCAATCAACAACCCTCATCTGTACGCCGGTTTTAGTAACAGTCCGGTTCATACTGTTACCGGAGACTGATTTACTTGACTATCTGGAACAGGACACCGGTTACCAGCCCACTGGTTATAATCACTTGCTGCCTCTTACCAGCAGTAGCTCTCAAATTTTCTGTGAAAAATAAAAAAGAAAAGGCTTCGTGTGTAAGTTTTCTTTTCAGGTTTAAAACTTTTTTTTTATTTTTTTATTATGACCTTAGGGAATTAAAGACTAATCAAGCGAAAAATACTTCCGTGTACAAAAGTGGGTCAGGAACTTTCAGGCAGCGAGGGAGAGAGAGAGGGTAAAAATATTCCACAAAGGGTGTTTCTTTTTTTTTTTTTTTTTTGAAACTAGAGAAATGAGCAAATTGCTTCGCCACTAGTTGTCCACTGTTGTAAACGGATGTCTCTCCACAACTCCCCCCCCCCCCCCCCCCCCCCCCCCCCCCCCGCTGTCCACTTCTGCTGCACAAAGCAGGGGGGACGGGAGGAGGCTGTAACGCAGTCGTTCGTGCAAGCCTTGTGGGTGCTGACACTATGAAAAAGAAAAAAGGAGGATGAACGGAATTATCTAGTAGCCGAAAGTTTTTTTCTCCTTCGAGAAGTAAGTTTTTTTTTGTTTTGTTTTTTTAACTTTACTGTGACGGATGCTGGTTCCGTGCAGCGATAAGCTGGTGCAGGATTTTGAGATAAGCTCGTGCAGGATGTCAACAGTTTTGGTCAAAAGTAACGAGTAACGAGTAACGAAATTTGACAGCCAATACCGTAAAAAAGTAACGGAAATACTTTACTCGTTAGTCATTCAGAATACTAACGAGTACGTTACTGCGTTAGCGAAAAATGTAACGCGTTACCAGCAGACTTGTACCGTACCCATTACAAGTAATCAAATTGCTTGTAATCGATTACTTTTTGGAGTAATTTTGTAATCATTTGATTACTTTTATTAGGCAGTAATCACAAGAGTAATCTGATTACTTTTTGAAGTAATAAAATTACTTGTAACCGTTACAATTTGTTCAACCGAATTCTATGCTTGAGTCCGCATTGTGAAGGTGTTGCACCTTCACAACCACGAAGAGGGAGCCAGTTTTTCTTCTTCAATACTTGTGCTAATGTGAAAGATAGGTTGGAAGTAGTTCATTGTTATGAGCGCTAAAGATGTCTTCACACAATAAAGTAATCGGAAAAGTAACGATTACTTCTTTAAGTAATGCCTAATTATTTTTGCCGACGAGTAATCAAGTAATCTAATCGAATACTTTTTATCCAAGAGTAATAGTAATTGTAATCGATTACTTTTTTTTAGTAACGTGTACAAGACTGGTTACCAGTAACGTCGTTACTAGTAACGCGTTACCTCCAACACTGCCACACAACAAGCTGATGAGCGCAGTGACGTTGCACCTTCGACGTTGTTTGATTGGATTGTCGCCTTGTAGTGTTGGGCCCGCTCCGACGTTCACCATCTTATGGAATGACTTGGACGTTCATCGAGGCTGTTGTTCCGCCATTGTGCAGTGGTTCCGACCTTCTAATAATCAGCACGTGAATTTCAAAAGGAGTCTGTATGCGTGGAGCTGAAATTTTTATTGTGTAAGAGTTACACCAACCGTGAGTATGGCAAAAAAAAAAAAAAAGAACACTGAAAGTCGAAACATTTTGAACAAAATTTAATAAAGCTGAGGTTATTAGGGAGTTTTCGTAGACCGCGTTTCCTCCTCCGCTAAGCCCTCCGCAACGAAGAGGCCGCTCCTGCGCCTGCGCGCCGATTGCCTTGACTGTGGAGTTCCGGGTGTCGTGGCGGGTTGCGGAGAGCGCTGCGGGACGGCGAAAACGATCTACAAAAACTCTCTATTTTCTTTGCTATCTTTACCATATATGAGTGAGGCGCAATAACCAAAAGTTCCGTCCTAGAAGTTCCCCGATCGAGCGATTTGAGATTAATCCACGGTATGGCGTGTGGACACGTAGTGGGGGCTTATGTCGAAAAAGGTCGCGAGTTACCGAAGTCGTCGGTCATGGCGTCGTTTGTAACTCATAGTCATGTATCGACATAAGCACACTCAGCCAAAGGTAGCCAGACATTTTAGCTGTCTCAAGAGATCTTTTCTCTAGCAAGCTTATGTCAAAAATGAAAAGGTCGCTTGCTCTTTTCAGGCAAAACTTTATAAACCATCAAATTACTTGTTTTCTGAATCACATACAAAGATTCCTCTAATTTTTTTCCAGTACCTTTGGTCAGAGTTCTCAAACACGCGGCCCGCAACAGACTGGGACGCGGACCGCAAACATCTTGCGCAGCCCCGTTCAGATGTCCGAGTGCGGCGAATGGCTTGCGCCATAAGAGTCTCGTGTTGTCGGTTCCATCCTTTCCTCCGAGTGTTGTTTCGTTTCCAGTTTTCTTCCCAACTACTTCTCGTTCTAATCATCTGTACGACGATCCCATTACAAGGCTACAAGCACGGGCCTTTTCCTCATGGACACTGATCGGATGCATAAACTTCTACGTAGCATCAGTAACTGTCAAAGCTTTTGACCTTCGCTGTTGCATTTTGTAAGTTAAAATGATCAGTCGGTGGGCAGAAAAGAACACTCCAATCTAAGCCTTACTTTTTAGAGCGCAGCTCATATGCGCCCGTTTCCGGCTTGAGCGGCGTCGGCGTCGCCGTCGCCGTTGGCGTAACCAAGGTCCCCCCAAGGTCACGTGACCCCCAGGTCATGTGAGCCCCCCCAAGGTCACGCGACCCCTCCCAAGGTCCTTGGGACGGTCACGTGACCCCCAAGGGTCACGCGACCTTGGGGGTCACGTGTGACCTTGAGAGGGTCACGTGACCCCCAGGTCATGTGACCCCCCAAGGTCACGTGACCCCTCCCAAGGTCACGCGACCCCTCCCAGGGTCACCCTAAGGTCACCCCAAGGTCACGTGACCCCCAAGGTAACCCCAAGGTCACAGGGCACCCCCAGGTCACGTGACCCCCCTCCCCCCGAAGTCACGTGACACCCCCCGAGGTGACGTGACCCCCTCCCCTCGAGGTCAGGTGACCCCCCCGGAACATATTAAAGAATGAGGGGAGGAGGAGGAGGGGTCTTCCCTCCCCTCAGTACCCTTCCCTCCTCCTCCTCAAGAGCTGCGCTCCAATTCGGCGTTACAGGGAGTTGTAAACGGCTTTCACTTTTATAATGCTGCTATAAAAATCGCCAAGATAGCAAAAGCCGACGCATAAAGCTTTCTTTTTTTTCTTTTTTTTTTTATGACGTCGAGCTTAACTAATTTTTGAGCTAGTCGAATGGCACGGCAACGACGGTATGTCCTCAAATTCAATTGAAAAAAGCCAGCACATTCTCGGGGTGGAGCCACATGACATTTTCTTGTCCCATCAGGTATTTTGAGGGCTGGTCTATTGATCGATTATTTCACCGATTAACCAATTAATGCGTCAATCGCGATTAAATGTTTTAACCGCCTGATCGGTAAAGTTCTAACGAACCGAGCGAACATAAAAGTTAAACACTTTCACCACGCAGACGTGGACGAGTACACCTGTACGAAGGGCAAACTTGAGGTCAAGTATTAGAACAGAGTAAACTGTAGGAGCGAAATTGTGTAACTACAGACAAGCGCAGAAGTTTACATCTGTCCCGACCACTTCAACCCGATGGAGTGTCCGTTTAGCGCAGCAGACTATTGTGAACAATCAAGGGAGGTCGCTCTTTCCGGAGAATATCAACGAACCTCTTTGCCTCATGCAGCCGAAGTAATAATCTGCGAGTGTCTTTGAACTGTTTTAACTGCACATCGAGAATTATTCAATATCAAAGTTGCACATTGTGACGTTTACTACATATTCAGTAAAGGCTAAAAAATAAAAAAAAAAATATCTTGACTTTTTTAATATTATTTTTAAAAATAAACGATACTTATTAATCGAATAATGAATCGATTAAATTGTGGCGATTTATCGTATTCAAACTTTTATTCGACGCCCAGCCCTAGTATTTATCCAGTGTAGCTAGAAGTATTCAAGGCTAAAGATGTCAGTGCCAAAATCGAGTTTACAAGCACCCTAGAGTACGAAGTCGATGTTTTAGGAGTTCTGATAAACAAAGCTGCTCCGCAGCGTGGACATCCAGAGCTATATTTCTTTTCCCTAAAATATCCCCCTCCTTCCCTCCGTACGCTGGCCCTTGACCTTTCAGGAGTCATAAATTTGGCCCCCAAGCTCCAATCAGTTTGAAACTTCTGCCATCGGTCATCTCCTGTATCTTCGAAACCAACCACGCAGAATGGCGCCTTTTCCTGCAGTACATTTTTATTTTTAATATTTTAGTAAGTGCGCTGTCTAAGTGCTCATCTCAGCTGAATTAGGAGGGCTAGAATCGCAGGTTAATTTCAATGGTCTTCGATGTCAAACCAAGCATCCAGAAAACGGCAACTTACTTCCGAACTCTTGTACGTCTTCGTGATGGATCCGATGTTTCTATCTACCCGCCATTTCATGTCCTGCAACCATTTCAAAACAAATCCAACGTCAAGCTTCACCCATATGTATAGCGTTCTTTGGGTCGCCATTATAGAATACTGTTGTAATACTTAATCAAACAATATTAACTTCCATTTTTATGTTTTTTTTTTCTTTGCTGTTTTAGTGTTTATTCGAAAATAATTTCGTCTTCGAAATGTCTCTCGTTGATTTCTTTTTCCCTCGTCACCGACCCTAGTAAGACGAAAATTAAAAATCATTTTGACAAAGCAAATTGCACATTTTTTTTTTTTATTTTATATCGTTAGAAGTCGATCTGCATTTGGACTTTTGGGAATAGAGATTCAAAACTTTTGAGACGCATTTTAGCCAGTACGACAGCTGACCTGGGGTCTTTAACAGACATTATGAAGTAATTGCTACCTGACCGCCCCTGCCTTTGGTTTATATAATTTGTTTACGTTCAGTAAATAATTCGGATAGGAATAGAAAATACTTTGAAGCGGACGCTTCGCCGCGTAAACGAGGACCATCTATATGAAGAACCGGCGATCACCCTGTAGCCCGCAGATAAATGAGAGCGTTTATTGCTCCCTTTAGATTAATGTAATGTAGAAGGTGACATACAAAATCTTTCTAGGTAATGGGGAAAGCAGGAAACGGCTTTTAGACGACCCGTATTAGCCCCCTTAACACACTATAATAAAACGCTCGCACAAATAAAATAAAAAAATAAGGCAAGACCTAACAAAGAAACAACGTCTCGACAAATCAGTTTCTTTGTTGACACTTGGCAATAAAATTAATAAACTTGAGTGGGAGGCAAGCCACAAATAAGCCTTCCGCAAATTCCGCCCCCTCCCCCCCTCCTAAAACAAATTCTTCCAGTTTGGTATAAAGTTAGGAACGTGCACCCGCGCAAAAATTTAAATCGCCCTCGTGACCAAGGCGCCTTTCTGACGATGAACATAGAGGCTAAAGAATAAGATACCTGGTAAATCTTTGTGGAAAACCTTATACAGGGGGGATGCACAAGAAGAGGAACGTTGTGCGTTTGTCACCCCCTTTTAGTGTAAAGCAATATCATCGATGAAACCCGCTTCCCCCTCACCGTCACTGAAACGTCATGTGGACTGCTTCGCACAATGACGGAGCACTTCTCTAAGGTCCAAGCGCTGCGTCATCTTTCGCTGCCGACTGTCCTCTAGTTGTTACATGATCAGCACAAATATATCGAGGTACGTGCACCAGTTTCTATGTGGTAAAAAAAAATGATCACAGCAGCGATAGCGGCCCAGACATGGAGATGTGCACGTGGGTTGAGGCGGGTTTTCTTGGAGTGGTCAGTATACTGGCTTGCTCGTATGACCATTGCCATAACACGTTCTTTGATACTCTGTTTCACATCAAGTCCGACCGCAGCCTTTGTGCCTTTGATATCACCTGCTGAACCAATGACGTACAGAAGAAGCATTAACGTCACGCCGCATTCAGTGTGCGTGATCGGTTAAGCTGGGGATAGCAAGCTTGATTGGCTCCATTGGATCACATGCAGTGTCGGCTGCGTGAAGACTAGGAGTAAAATGAAGTATAGTTGAGCATGTGCATAGGACTCAAATGTGTTCCACGGCAAGCCTGAAGCTAAGATCCCAAGGACGACAGTGTTGCGACAAACCTTTCGAATGTTTTGTTCGCTGAAAATAACAAAAAAAAAAACTGTGGCCAAACGTTTAAAACAAATTTCGATGCAGCACTTAACTAGGCACTCGTTTTAACTCTTAACGCCTAAATATTGGTACACACAGACCCGTTTTCTTACGTAAGGTTACGTTACGAAAGCCTACGTAGAAGTCACCTGGTCATCTGTGATTCGTATCGTAAGCTTGGCTCTACCAGTTTAACGAGATAATCTGACACACGACATTCGAGACACGAATGTTTCGGTGACTTGAAAACGGTGCTGAGTGAATCAGACTTAGCTTTGCACCTCTGTTATCGAAAGTAGCACGACGGTATGTTTGAATTATGCGGGATGACAATCGGGATGACATTTTATTACGGCCACCATTTTCACAAGTTGCATAGCACCGCAACGCATTTCGGTTCTTTCTCACACCCATGGAGGTCAGCACCGACAAGAGTTGTTGTACATGTGGCGGGACGTGCGCCACAAGCACAACTCTTGTCGATACAGACCGCCTGGGTTTCTAGCAGGCCACCGATAGATACACAAGCATCTATTGGTGGCCTGCTCGAAACCCCAATAAAATACGGGGCAGTAGGTCGATAGACCTAGAAGTACGTACCTCCCGCAGCATATTTTCCGCCTTGTTGACATCAAATTCCCGTGCTGTAAAAAGAGCGAAATAGGGGTTTAAATACCTCTGCACCAAAATGCCTCCAGGCAGCGGTGTTAGCAAGTATTTGTCTTTAGTGTTCGTGTTTCGCTTACACTTTTGATAACTTAGAGTAATTATTTACACAATTAGATTTTGTTCGGAACAACTGACATCCTGATCATTAATTCCATCACTTGGATTTACTAGTGACTAGTCGCATGATTTACGAGGCCTAATTGGCACGAAGATTGTTCTTGGTAACCTGGAATTATTAGTAGCGAACTACACTTTATTTTAGTTGAACTGATGTTTTGTTCACGTTTTTTTTTTATTACTTCGACTTATTAAAGCGTTAGCATTAGTACCCACATGACAGGGAAAAGCTGAGGCGTCCGTTTGTGGACCGCATAGAGGAAAGGGAAGCGCGTTGAGTAGAGAGAAGGAAAGTAGCGAAGGACAAGGGCGAGGGGGAGTTGACGTCACGGGGCGGAAGCCAATGGGAGCGCGGATGCTGGGGCGAGTCTCAACTTGCAGGTGTGCGGAGCGCGCATGCCTTGGTTTGGGCTAGAAAATGGAGTGAGAACCAAGTACCAGTGCTGGTCCTAGTAAACGGCAAAAAAAGAATAAAGGAACATCTCTTGGTGGATCCTTAAAGAATGCGTTAGCATGATCCTTGGGAAACGCCTCACGCGTCCCCCATTGGGAAACGCTCGCAAGGAGTCCGTAACGAGCCACAAAGAGGCAGCAAAAAATAGAGGAAGCAAAAGAGAGAGGCAGAAAAGTGAAGGGGTCAGCGTTAACGTTTCCCAAGGGTCGTATGCTAACGCATTCCCTAAGGATCCACCAATGAACCCTCTTTAACGATTTTTATTGATACAATGCAGATGATATAAGAGAATTGTTTGTGATCACGTTTTGATTACATCGCGCTATTATTGACACAGCTCATTTGAAAGGGCTTCCACTTTCAATTACTTCCACCTATTAACAACACAATTTGCATAAAGAAGTTCGATGAACATTGTATTACTCTCTCGATTACTTTGAGGAATTATTAACAAAACTATAACTTGGTAGAAGCTCATTTGACATCCTGATTACTTTTGGGTTATATAGCTATTACTGACGCAAATAGCATCATAGAAGCGAAATTTCCGTTAGTCAGTTGATAAATTTGTATTATTATTGACAAATCCAACTTTATATAAGTTCAGCTAAGGTTTGAATAACTATTGATTAATCCATATTACTATTCACCCCATTGAATTTAAATTAACTCAATTAACTTAGCAGTTTATCTTTTCGTGATATATTAGAAGTCACACAACTACAGTTATATAAGCATTATTGACATCTTGATTACTTCGAGCTACGTGACCCATTAGACATTATATTCGTCTAATCGACATGTTATACACTCTCTTTTTTTACTAAGTTTTTATACAACCAAGTGATTTCTGGTCTCAGTTACCATTGTGATCTCTCTTTTGACTACATCTACTATTGAACCGATGAAGTTTGATTCGGCCTAATTCTCATCATGATTACTTTTGTGATTACTTTGAGCTAATAATCAAGTAACTGATTTATTATAAGAAGTCACACTGTGATTACAATTAATTGCGACTTACTATATTGACCCAATGGGCTTTAAGTCGGCCTAATTCACATCTCGATGACTATTTTGATGACTTTGAGCTAGTATTCAACCAATTTATTTGTTATATGCTTTATTAATGTTATGATTACTACTTTGGTTACTTCGAGTTACTATTTACTCAATAAATGTTATGTCAGCCTAATTGACATTTTAGTATCTCTTGACTACTTTGAGTTATTATACAACCAGATGATACATTATAAGCCTAATTCACCTTATGATTACTCCTGTCACTACTCCAATTTACTTTTGCCCAGATGGATTTTAATTTGGCCTAATCATTATGAGGACTATTTTTATTATTTGGAGCTAATATTCAAGCACTAATTACCTTTTGATTACTTTGAGTTACCACTTACGCTCTCTATTACTCTTTTACTTGATTACTTTGAGTTACTTTTGACCCAATTGACTTTAATTCGGCCTAATTGCGATTGTGTTGACTCTTATATTACTTTGAGCAAATATTCAATCAATTGAATATTTGCTCAAAGCCTAATAGCCTAAAAGGCATGGTGATTACTATTTTGATTACTCTAAGTTACTATTGACCCAACTGACTTTAATTCGGCATAATTGACATGTTTGTGACACTATTAATTTCTTCGAGTTATTATACCACCCATTGATACATTATAAGACCAAATTACTTAATTGGTTTACACTTCTGGTTACTTCTAATGGCTTTTGACCCAATGGAATTTACTTTGGTGGACATGACATTGTGATGACTCTTTCAGATTACTTTTAACTATTCAACCAATCATGGTAACTGAGCCGAGAATAAATCACATGGTAGTATAAAAGCTCAGTAATAATAATAGTGAGGATTATGTTAATTAGACCAATATAAAGTCAAATAGGCCATAGTTACTCAAGGTAATCAAGATATCAATAACGCTGATTTAAACTCAGTTGTGCGACTAATGTATCGGGGAAAGGTAAAAAGAGACCACTAAGTTAATTTAGTTAATTTAAAGTCAGTTGGGTGAATAGTAACGCAGTTATCAAAGAATTAATCCAAATCTTAGGTGAACATTTATGTAGTTGCCCTGAACAAAAATTATTCAAAGTAATCGACTTAGTAATTAAAATCTTGATATTATAAAATTATTCGTGTCAATAGGAGCTATATAACCAGAAAGTAATCAGAGGGTGAAATGAGCTTCTATACAAGTTATATTTTTGTTAATAATTCATCGAAGCAATCGAGAGGGTAATCAAAAATGTTGGTTGAACTTTTATCGTGTAAATTATGTTATTAATAAGTCGAAGTAATTTCAAGTATAAGCCATCACCAACTAAGATTTAAATAGAGTAAGATATGTCAATAATAGCGCGAAGTAATCAAAAGAGTAATCACAAATTGTCATCGCACCTATATCATCTTCATTGTACCAATAATAAGTGTAAAAAGTATGAGAGAAAAAAACGTTAATTCAGCTCAAAGAACATGAAGTGCGCCACTACTAACTCGAGATTACCAAAAGAGTGCTCAACGTGTCAATTAAGCCTCATCGATTGCGCGCTAGTAAGTCCAGGTGATGGAAATAGAGTTCAAGTTATCAGTTGTCCCCAACAAAATCTAATTGTATAAACAATTACCCTAAATTATCAAAAGTGCAGGCCAAACACGACCACCGAAAGCAAATAAGTGCACGTATATATTGTGGATTAAATCGACTAACCCCGGAATTAAATTGGGTTCCGATGGGATTAAATTGAATGGCACTCGGAATAAAACGACCGTCGTTCGGATTAAAACGAGTGTAAAAACCCGTAAATGGCGAACACTTTATTTTTTTGACAGGTGGTTTGTTAAGGCGCGGAAGTTGGCCGGAATCTTGGCTCACCTCGGAGCCAGCGAAGCAGGAAAGAGTCCGTGTGCTGGTCTGACCTGACGTCCGCCAGGCGGCTCTTGAGCTGCAACGAGGAAGCAACCCTATGGCCTCTGGGGCTCTATCGAATATCTCGAGAGGCCAGGACGCCTCGACCAGTATAGTTGAAGACGCGTCCTCCGTGCACCTCCACGACAACGAAACCGCGTATCAACCACTTGCCAAACTAGACTCCTCCGTTGAACTCCACCGCAGCCCATGTTACTATCCGACCAATCGAGCACAACCAAAAGTGCATCTTCACGGAGCTAGTTGTTTCTTGTGCGTTTGCTATTACCAACTACACTAATCACGCGCTGTAAGTGTGCCGCGATCATTAGTATTTTTTTCCCAAGTTTTCACGAGTGCCATGACCATGCACTTTTGACGCTGTTTGATTGTCTCCTCCAGGTCGTAGTATCTTCTCCGGTCGGACTTCGAGCGAAACGGAGTATAGTGCTCGGCGTGCTTTGTATGCCATTCAAAATGCCGAAAATGCCCGCCGAAATCTCATCGGAGAGACAAAGGCGCGCATACATCATCGCCCTCCCAAAACATGGCGGCTTTCCGGATCAATGGGCGGATCCGAGGGTCCCACCATTCCATGGTGATTATGGGGTATCCACACGAAGAACAACTCCGCGGACGGATGTCGTGACGTCAACAACCCGGGAAAATCCGTCTTCGGCTCCGCCGCCCACCTGCGGAGCCTTCGCGCTGCGCTGACAGAACGAAGCCTCCGCGCCTCCAGCACGGAGGAGAACGGCACCTCGAGGCTTCAAAAAGGTATGACGTATGTCTCACGTGATGCGCAATCTGCGGAGGAAAGTGGAGGATTTCTCCTTCGTGTGGATACCCCATTACCCACAGAAGTAGCGTATATTATTTACGAAATATGTTCGGCTAAGATTTGAGGACATTTCTTGGGTTCCGGCAATGTAGTTATCTCAATTTTCTTTTTTTAACTATTGCCTTGGCTAAACCGGATCGAGACACTACCTCTAACTCACTGATCTCTCCAGACACCTGTGTATCTGCCATCGGGAAACGTGCGAATAGTCGTGCGAGCCGGAATACGAGTCTACGAGGCTGCTATAGGAGGCAACCCCGACAATGTCGAGGCTTCGAACACAAACACCTCTCCCTCCGTTCTTTCCCCTCTTCACGTGGGACCTCGCATTTCCCGCCGGGGCTCAGGCGCTCGAGGCTAAGTTCCTCAAGGACGGCTTTATTGACCCCCCCCCCCCCCCCCAGTTCCCTTTCCATATTTCCTAGCCTTTTCTTTCTCTCTCTTTCTCTTTCTCCACATTGCCGGCGACAGCGTTACAGTGCAGCAGTTAAGGTTAGTAGCAGTGGCAGCAGCTGGCCGCGGTTTCCTGTATTAAACATACAATAACAAAAACAAAAAAAAAAGCATGATATGTTGTCTTTTTTTAGCGGATTTAAAATATCTGTGCTTGTTCTTGAAAT